CTTCAAATAAACTGCAGAAAACAAATCAATCACTCAATCAAATCACCATGGTTGATAATCTTGTCCTGAGAATGTGATCTCCACATGTGGCATCTTTGGAAATGCCTGAAAACTATACAGTGGGTTGATCCAAACCTTGTGAGTGAAATCTGATAGACAAAACTGTTCGGAGGTCATTGATGGTTGTCCTCATATGTTAATTGGCAGATTCAGTTGATGCTGCTCACACTGATTAACAGTGACTTGTCTATACTGTTAATAGCCTCATGCTATTAACAGTGTGCACTTTGAGGAATACTCTGCATGAATATTCCAAGACACAAGTGCCAAAAAGAAGAATCTAATAACAGTTCTTCGATATTTGTTTCTTTATATTCCTCAGATAGCATGAGAATGTTCATGACCAAAATTATCTTTTGTAGTAATATTTTTATTCAGCAGCAAAATACTTTAATTGATCTTGTACGACAAAATGTTGTTTATATATTATATGAAAAGTTAGAGTTTAGATATTTTACTGTTTGAAAAACTTATAAAAAATCTCTATTATGTCGGGATAAATTTATCTATGGAAGTATATAATGGCAATTTATGTAATTATTTGCATAACGCTCAGCTTTCTCATAAAGCTTTTATATATGTCTTTCTGTTATGAAAAAAAGAAGTAAATAAGAATTTAAATTGTTCAGATATTAATATTACAATAAATAATATTGCTACTATAAATATTTCATTATTGCTAAAGCAGTTTGTAGTCCCATTTTCTGTTAATTATTCATGTTCATAATTTTTCCTACTTTTAAGCTATCATAGTCTACTGTCAGCTAACCAGCACATTGTGATTTTTTTTTTTCTATTTTGATTTATATGGATTTCTAGACCTATTTAGATATGTAAAATTTCCAGAAGTTTTCATTTACCATGAGAGCCTCTTTTAATAAGTCAATAAGGAAGCCTAAGAGAGGGTATAATAAAAGGTTTAATAAAAAGGCAGTTGTTTTCCCTTGACTTTCAGGGAGTCAGAGAAAAGGAGAGCCAAAGCAAGTCATATTTTCAGATGGTATCCGACCTGGTGGCGATCTTACTGAAGAAGTAGACGGGCCTCAAGAAGCTCGTTTTCCTCCCAGACGAACGGGACGAGCTCAGAAAAAAGTAGAAAGAGTATCTCAGGGTAAGTTAAGTTTGCTCTGTTGCTGCTGTTTTCTACCTTGCAGTATTACTTGTTGTTCTAATCTTTGATTTTTTTCCTTTCATAGGCAATGAACAGTCAGGTTCCCCACGGACACGCTGTTTGCGATCTACAGACAGTCCTCGGAATAAATGCCTCATTCCTGAAAATGGACTGCCACCTGTCTTACTCTCTAGTGGAACGAAAGGTCAGTTAACAATATAATTTTTATTCTTCTCTCTTGTTTTGGTAGATGTAAGATGGGCTCTAGAATATGGTTGAAGTTCACTTATTTCATGCAGACACTCTTACATTTACACAAAATCCCCATCTATGTTAACTTCTAGTAGCCTTGAAATTTGAATCAAAGTTAAAAAAAATTCATCAGCTAATCATTCAAATTTAGCCATTTCACTACATGTTTCATAATATTAAATTGACTAATAATGAAAAGAAATTCAAACAATTTAAAACTATAACAAGCCTTGTTTTATTTGTGTAAGGTTGATGCAGGTGATAATTTGGCTTTGTAAAATATTCAACTCATCCACAAAAAGAAGACAAGATACAAATACAAAATCTTTATACTCAAGAAATTGTTGAGTTGTTTTTTGTTTTTTGTTTTTTTTTTTAACAAAATATTTTACTTTTTTTTTTTTTTTTTATGAAGACAGTTTTCATACAACAGGAAATAATAGACTAAATACATTAAGATTTCTTAATGACTTTTCTTACTACTTTAACTATTACAGACTACTTGATATATTGTCTTTTACTTGTGTATGAGCACAGCATAGTATAAGATACAAGAATATGCACAAGTATTTAACAGAAAAATACTTGACTCTGTTTGGATGTGTGTTACTTGAAGGGTATGAAATTTCTAGTAATTGTTTTTTCTTTAAATCATTTCACCCCAAGCAAGTCAATAAAGCCACTAAGATGCAAAGGATGACTGAGTATGAGACTATATGAAGAAAAAAAAACACTATTAAAGAGAGATAGAACAATAAAAAAACAGGAATTAAGACAACAAATGATAATGATTGACATTGCATTTAAATTTTTGAAGATCAAAGTTGACTGAGAAGCTGGAAGAGAGTTCACAAGTGAGAAGTGTAAGAGAAGAAACTGTTAGGATAGAACTTGGTTACATTTAGCCATTTCAACTGTACAATGATGAGATCTTGCCACCAGTCTAGATACTATAGAGGAAAGTTCATCAGAACAATTACCATGGAAGTATTTATAAAAAAAAGTTACAGAGAAGCTATGTTATGGCAGTGGGAAAGTGACTGAAGCTGAGATGCCAGCAATATTGCAAATTCTTTAGATTTTATCAAGAATCTCTAAATACATAAACAGGAGACCCAGACGAAATGTGGCATCAGTATTCAAAGCATGGCCGAATAGTAGACTTATAAATAAGTAAAATAGATTCTGACAAGAAAAATTGCCTACCACAACACAATGAACAAAATTTTCTAGTAGCCAACCTAGCAATTGATTTAATGTAATCTTTCCACTTTATGTAAGTGGAAAATGTTAATCCAAGAAAGCACAATGAATCCCTCTCTGAGTGGTTAGCATCCCAACTCTGTCCTCTTGGCAATTCTTAATAAACTATACATGCTTAAAAGTTGAGATGTTGCAGATATATTAATATATTATAAATATTCAGTAATTTTTATCTTTCTCAGTTGATATCCATTCAATATGTTATTAATAATTTTCAATAAAAAGATTTTGATTTTATTTGAAATTGATTAAGAGAATATGCTCTGATGTATCCCCGACAATTTGAATCTATTTTGTACAACTTTGCCAGATCTTAATTTATGCAGATTTTTAAAGTTTTTCTTCACAAACAGAACATATTCTATGGAGATGCAAGCAAAAGTATTGTCCCATGCATAATATTTTCATTTGTTAACTAAAATTTATTAGTATCTTAGTGTCATGTTAAATTGGTAAACTTACTAAATATAGAAGGAAATGTTGCTTAGCAGAAATGCAAAATAAATAACAGAACAGTCCAGCAAACAGAATTAACAAAGTTTGCAATAAAAAGGAACAGGAGAAAAATGAAATAATATCAATCAATCAATCAATCAATCAATCAATCAATCAATCAATCAAGCAATCAATCAATCAATCAAGCAATCAAGCAAACGATATATGAAAGGCCAATTAACAGGTAAGAAGGCAAGAAGTTCACAAACTAAGAAATGGCTTTGACACACAAAAGCAAGTTTGGACAAGCGAACACAGTGGTCTGTCTTCTAAACAAGGCAGATCTGGACTGAGTCATGTCAAACTGCAAACTGGCCTATTTTATTGGCTAAGAAAAACATCCCAGCATGCATTTGTGGTAGGGGAAATGAACACCATCAATAATCAAGTTGTTGTTGTTGTTTTTTTTTTTTTTTAAGCATTTCACCCCAAGCAAGGCGGGAGTGCTACTAGTACACAAGGGGTAACAGAGAGTAGAGAACAAAAGTAAAGAGGCATGTTTGGGGAGAGGATAAAGAGAAGGATGGGGAACAAGATCAAGGTATCAGAAGATGTCGATTGACACTTGAATATTTGAAGATTATATTTATCAGGGAAGCAAGTAGAATAGAAGAGAATTCCACAGATGAGGAGTGAGAGAAGAAGCTGTTGGAGTAGAAGCAGGTTACATTTATCATTTTGACAGTGAAAGGCTGAAGTAGATGCCAACCTAGTAGCTTGCTTAAATTCATGCAGTCTGGGAACAAGAGAAAGCCACTTGTCAAACAGTTGCCATGAAAATACTTACAGAAGAGACAGTGGGAAACCATGGCACGTCTGTGAGAAAGTGACTGTAGACTAGATACCAGATCAGAACCTATCACATTGCATATCCGTTTCTGGATTTTGTCGAGGACCCCCGAGATTTATAGGGGGGCACCAGACCATATGTGACAGCAATATGGTAACAATATTAACAATCTTTGTTGGTAAAATCCTCCAAAAAGTTTTTATTAATGAATATTTGTTACTGTTGAAAATTAATGGCTTGTTAGATGAATAAGCATCTTATCAAAATTTTCTTTCTTTTGTGCAGATTATGGATTTGATGAGAATCCTGATCCAGAGCAAATTTTGCCGAAGATTAAAAGTAAGTTAGTTATTAATCTATCTCTTGGATTAATTCGGCTAGAAAAAATATTGTTTGTTTGAATTTCTACAATGGGGAATTATTATTTACATTTATAATATTGTCCTCATCATGAATCTAAATTCCTAGCGGATTAAAGCATGGGTTTGTGAATTTTGTGACATAGTAACTGTGAGTTCAATCCCTGTGGCGGGCAGACTCTGTGAAAACATGCAAATAGTAACTGAATAGTTCTAAATAAGAACCAGGCAAGATATCCCTAGATGTGGACAGCAGAATTAAGAAAAACTTGCCTGAAATTCCAGGAAGGTTACCTGGATTAACAAACCCTTGAAGTCCAGAGCACAGAATGGCTGAAACCCTTTAATAATAACAAGATGAGCACAACAGTCTGAGTGTAAGTAATGTAAATAAATATATATATATATATATATATATATATATATATATATATATTTCCATTTGATAAATATTGTTGTTGAGAGAAAATTTGTACAAAGTTATTTTTTTGACTTAATCACATTTCAATAGGTTGCTTTTAACTAAGTTCCTGTGTTTTTTTTTTATATAAATTAGTTAACCTCATCATCCTTTTATTTTTGATTTTAGTAACACCCACATTTTACCAATTTTTATTTAAAAAATATCCTTGAAATATGTCTCAGTATTGAATTTTGCTTTATTCAAAAATAAGATCAATGTTCTTAAGCTCAATTTAAAAATAAAAACTGGAATATTTGCTTTAAAATTTACAGAATTTTCTTTGTTTTTAATAATAAATGAAAAGAACTTAACTAAATATTTTTATAAGAAATATTACCCCTCTGCTAAACCAAAAAAAAAAACAGAAAAACAAAATCTGACTCTAACAAAACATTTGAAACTTTTTTTGTTTTTAAGCATATAAGCCATCATATCTAAAAATTCAAATTTGTATTATTATTATTATAATTTTTTCTTTTCCAGATGATCAACATGAACCTGTGATATTTGCAATAAACAGCAATCTTTTTGTTATGGTCAAGATAGTTCAGTGTCAGTATTATTTTATATTGCGGTTTTATTTAATGAGTCTTTGAAATGTTGTTTTATATGAAAATTTCATCAAATGGGCAAAATGTTCTTTTTATAGATTTGATTTAACTATCAGTTATCTCTAAAAATATTGATATGGAAGGGTTTTTTTTTGTCTTTAGTGGATTGCTGTGTGAACCGGACCTGTTGGTGTTTTACTACAAAGGGCATGTGCACAGTAGGGCAGGATGAGATCGTGATTGTCTTGGAGTGTTTTCAAGATGAGAAGACAATCCCAAAGGATGTCTTCTGGCATTTTCACACTGTTTATGAAGAAGCCTATAAAGGTAATTCTCTCTTTTCATTTCTGCAATTCCTTTGGAGATGTAGGCTTTAAAATCTTATGTATTATCCATAAATTCTTTTATTTTTTCCATAATATTTTTCAATGCAACATTGATAAACACAGCATAAAAGCTATTATATGATCTCAAAGTAATATTTTTCATTTTTAGGTAATACTGTGTCAGACATGGGCCACACAATATTCAACCAGAGCTTTCTTGGAAGTCGAGATCATGGCGGCTTCCTTTACATTAGACCAACCTTCCAGTGCCTACAGAAAATTATGTTACCTAGTCCTCCTTACCTGTTTGGGATTCTGTTACAGACATGGGAAGCTCCCTGGGCCAAAGTCTTCCCAATTCGATTACTGTTGAGACTTGGTGCTGAATACAGATGTAAGTACATTACACTATTATTAGCTTGTTGATTTGTGTATTGAATTAAACAAAATCTGATATATTATAGGATCAATGTATTTTTCTAAGTGAAATAAGCTCAAATTTCCATCGTCAGAGATGATCAGATAATCTATTCTTTTAATTCATTTGCTTTTTTTGGTCTCTTCTTCTCAGCTTGTGAAGGTCCTTTGTTGTATGTAGACCTTCCCCATTTTGATGGACAAGAATGGGCCATTACCCTACCATGCTGGCCCAATGCCTGTTGGTAGGGGCAGATGTGATCCCCGTCTCTTTTCAATTCAGGATCCCCCAAGGGTATTTGTGCATGAGTGAATGTAAGGAACACAACTGGAATTTGAACTCTGCTCTCAGATTTTTCGTTCCAAGCCATTCACTCATCCAACCTGATATTACCTAGTGGTCACACCCATTTAGGTACTGGTCAGGCTCGATGTTGCTTAATTTCGGTGATCTGATGAGAACTAGTGTTGCAACGTGATATGGCCGTAACCTTCTTTGGTCTCACATACACACACAATTTTAAATCCTATATTATGCAAATTTGTTTGATACATAGTATTGGCGGGTTGGGATATTTAAACAAAAGTGGGTGGGATAAAAACTAGACCAGGGTTTCCCAACTTTTTTTGCATCATCACCCAGTTTCACAAATTTGTAAGAATTTTGTCAAACCCAAACATGCATAAAGATGCTGCAAAGATAGTGTGGAATGGTGGCATTTAGGGCTATGCAAAATTTATCCAAAAAAGGAAATGTATCAACAAAAGATCTGTTTACATGTAGAATTGCAACAAAGACAATGTTTGTCACCATCATTGAGAAACTTCTAGTAAAGTCTCCCCTTAGATACCCTCTTGTAAGGTTGCTTGCATGGCTGAACTCTAGATCCATTTTTGAAAAAAAAATTACCACAAAAGTTAGTCTAAAAAGATGTCTTCCCTACACAATGAACAGAAAACAAGTTAGCAAGTCTGATTGTGATGACCTCATCAGTCAATACAAAGAATTCGAGAAGGAGAAGGCTGCTGGAAATATTACTTTCAAAAATTTCAGCAAGCATAAAGATCATTTGGACACTTTGTTCTGTTCTTTATCTTGCAACAAAGAATATAAAAAAAACAGTGGAAAGTTGTTCGCAGATTGCTGGTACTCTCTCATGGACAGGTGTCAGTGGAGAGAGGTTTCTAAATCAATAAGGAAATATTTACTGACAATATGAAACAGCAGGCTCTGGTCGCACAGCACATTATCACAGACTATTTGGTCACAGATGGAAGTGCTGGGAATGTTCCCATGACTAAGGCTCTTCTCTGCAGTGTTTCCAATGCCAAAATGGTATACAACTAATATCTTGAGACTAAAAAGAAAAAAAGGCAGGAAGAAGCAGCTGGTCAAAAATGGAAATATGTGCTTATCAAAATTGAAGAACTGAAGATCAAAAAACACAAGCTGGAAGGGTGTACACAAGATTTGCCAGAAAGATTTTAAATTTAGCATTCCTACATCTTCAGCCTTTCCCCTTGGTACATAATTATAACCAATGTTTGCAATTATATTCCCCTTGCTCCTATATATATCTAATCCCATCAATTGGAACATTACTTTAGTCTGAATTCTTTTTAAAGGATAATACATATTACAAAGAATTTTTTCCATTTTGTCATCCATTTACCTGACAGAATTTGCACCAAATTCTGTATAATAAATCCAAATAATATAAAGGTGTAGTAAAAAATTTGTTCATTTGTTTTTTATGGTTCAATGTGTAAACAGTCCCTCTGCATTTGTTAATAAGTATCCTGTGTTGATCCCAATCCTGTTAGGAATGACTGCAAAAACATCCCTCTCTCCAAATTTATAGACAAAACATAGATGCATGCTGGGATTTCTTCCTAGCCAATAAAATAGGCCACTTTTTGGTCTCATCTGATTTTGTTCTGTTCTGAAGTCAGAATGCTGCAATCGCTTGTCTGTGTTTTGTTTTGTGTGTTAACACCATTCTTAGCTTTTTGCCTTATTATTATTGCTTTGCCTTGCATATATTGTTTGCTTAATATTATTTTTGCCCTGTTCCTTTCTTTCTTTTGTTATTGTTTATTGCAAAATTTGTCAATTCTGTTTGTTGAGCATTTTTGCCAATTACGTTTAACCATGGCCAATTACTCTACATCCTGCCCTGATCCAGTCCAAATTTAGATAAAGTTGTTTTTCTGTGTATTGTCTGTAAAATAATACTACATAACTAATAAGATGCTTCTCTCCTTTTTTTCAGATTATCCATGTCCTTTGATTAGTGTGCGTAACAGGAAGCCTGTGTTCTACGAGATTGGCCACACTATAATGAACTTGTTGGCTGACTTCAGAAACTATCAATACATGTTACCGCAGATCAGAGGTGTTACCATCCATATGGAAGATAAACGAACAGTCATCAACTTCCCTAGAAACCGATATGATGATGTAAGAATTATTTTGATGTATGATTTGTGCAATTGAATAATGAACTGAGATGTTGTGACTGAAGTCTCATGATTTCTATATCTCCTATGTGATGTGTCCTTCAGTACGTGGACAATCATGGCTCTCCTCTACTTCCTATCCTTTGTAGCTCTTAGCAATGTTTATCTCTTTACTATCCCCCCACTCCCTGTTCTGATATCCATTTACACAAGCTACAAGATAGGTTACTGTTTCCTCTGCCCATCTTGTCTTCAATATGTCCTGTGTGTGTCAAATTTTCCAACCCCTCTTTATTCATTTTGTGTTCCAGAAATTTCAGATACAACCTTGAATAGTGCTGATATTTATTCATGGTATTACACACACACACACACACACACACACACACACACACACACACAATAGGCCAAAAGTTTGGTGTCATCCTCTGGATTTCAAAGAATCACTTAAAAAATTAAAGGTTTGTTGCGGACCTGGCAGCGTGCAGTGCTGGTTTGTTACTAAATGGCCTTGTGCCAGACACCACACTAAACTACCGAGTCCACAAGCAAAGTAAAAAAAAATAATAATGCGAGAATGAACAGTGAGAGGAAAAGGGTCAATCAACAAGTGCATAAATTAATAAACATCAAAGAGATAGCGAATAAAATGACAAAGACGTCTGTTTATAAAACATATGTAACTTTAATTAGATGGAAACAAGTAGATTATCTCATGGTGACGAGATTAGAGAAGAGTTCAGCCAAAATAGGAATGCAAGATGAACAAGGCAGGAAAAAGAGTTTTATAAAGTTCTGGAAAAAGGGAACTCGTTAAACACGAGGTGTATGTCGCACAGATAGACGCAGTACTCACTGTGGATTTTTTTTTTTCTCTTTGTAAGTGTGTGGTATTTTTGTGTTCAGGTTCATAGTTAAAAAAGAATGTTCGGTCGTCTCAGAGTTTTTGGTGAGGCATTGAATTGGCTGCTGGAAATTTTACAGGATTGCTGTGGGCATCTAGCAGGAGAAACGAAGAATGTTTAGCTTAGTTTCATGGTCTTGTGGAGTTGTTCTGGGCGAAGCAGAGAGACGAAAAATGTTTGTTCAAAGTAAGAATATCCCTGTCTGTATTTACTGGTTCACTGACGAGGGGTAAGTGTACGTCACCTGTTGAACACAAGTTTTTGCCCACGACTGTGTCGTGTGTCGCACATTTTCATTTCCTGGTGAAAGCGGAGACAGTCTGACCTGCGGATAGCAAGTTGTTCGTCAGTAGGATATCCCTGTCTGTATTTACGATTGACTGACGGGGATAAAAATAAGCCACTTGTTGAATACAGTTTTTGCTCCGACTGTGTCGTCTCAACGTCTTCTGGTCGAAACGGAAGGTCTGACCTACGGGCAGCTTCAAGGCGAAGAAGTCTTGGTAAAGTGTAGTCGCGACATTGTTGAAATAAGATATTCCGGCCAT